CTTCCTATTTTATTCTTATGTAATTAATACAAAATAAATAAATAAGTTAATTATTCAATACATACATATATATATTGAATATAGTTGTCTTTATTTTGTATTTTATATAACTGAAATGATATATACTCTAATTATTTCAGTTATTATCATATAAAATATAAAATAAAGATAATTATTTATTTAATATATGTGTATATGTATATATTAATTAATTGATTAATTAGTTATTTTGTATTTGCTACATAAGGATAAAAATAAGAAAAAGTGTGTGACATTTTTCTTCAGTGATATATATATATATAGTATTTTATGTATATTTTTATTTATTATTTTGTCATATTTAGTTTATATTTATTTGACACCTTGTATGCGCCTATGTTTTCTCGGACATTATATTGCAGCCTTGCGACGAAATTTCAGTCGAGGAAACAAGCGCAAGCATCGTTTGTTTACAAACTTCCGATGACACACGTACACAGACCACACGTCAGTGTAGTGAGTTACCACTACAAACAAATGCGTACACACGGACCTACGCGGCGTAGGCTACGCCGATAATGTCATTTTATTTTTAGTACCATCGAAATGATGGCGCTTTCGCGTCGGAGTTCGCCCGTCACTTTAGCATCCTCTTAATGATCCCATGTTAATGCATTGATTTTATGACCAATTTTATTGCCGTTGATATTTGCATTGCAAGTTTACCGTAATTAATACATCATGGTTACAAACATATTGCATGTTCTGATTTTTTACATACCTTTATACCTGATTTTTTACATATCTTTAAAAACGTATTACAATCAAATGTTTATGTGCTGTGTGAAAAAAATGGAATAAAGTAGCAAATAATGTCAGTATGATTTCATATTATTCTATTGTAATAGTTAAATAATTGATATTTAGAAATCATTATCTTATTAACGTTACTTGCCATCTTATTGAATTTTTTACCCATATGCAGTATCTTTAAGATCATAATAAATAGTTATTATTTGTAATAAAGTTATAAACTTTATAATTGAAGAATATTTTATTTCCGTACGTACATCATAATTATTCAAGCTGTCGTGTGTGTGATAGCAATTATCATAATTATTCCAAATTTCTAAAAATTTTTTGCGGATAGTACGGTTTCGACTGTTCTTTAAACTTTGATGGAAGAATTATTTGCATTGCATTTCACGCAAAAAAATGCGAGTCACGCGAAAAGGCTGAAAGATAGCATAGCACTTGCTCTAATTAAGATCAAATAGCGATTAATGTCCCTAGAGCTGCGGTTATTTCAGCCTCGAAAGGACAACAAAACACGAACCAGCGATTAGTAAAACGATTGTAAGGCTCTACACGAACTTAAAAGAGGCACCCAGTGCAATTTTTCTTGTCGGAGTACTAAGGACAATGCGCCACGGTTGCGTCGTCGGATCAACTTGTTCGTGCGCTTCTCGCACTCGGTGACCCAGATTCACATAGCACGAGAAGTGCAATCTGAGAAATCGAGTGCTACGAGTTTTTACGTATTATCGACAATCATGACTCCGCTGAAGCTGGACAATTGCTCGACAAAAACGTCAGCAAGTTCACGTAAGTTGTTTTTAGTTCTTCAATAAGAAAAGCAACACACACATTCTATAAATTTAATCTCGAGTAGATTTTATTCTACGTGCAAAGTAGACTCTATTCGAACTTTACGTCGAGATAAATACTTGCGCCAAGATGGCAAATATTAAAATTGGAAAACTCTGAATATTTTGAAGAACAATGCTAGTTGCTTTCTGTCGGTTTCGGAATACTTGATATATTCGTCTGTTTATCTAAGGACAAGAGGATGAAGCGGCTGGGGTCAAAGACAGCATCAAGTCGTACTTACCCTGTTGTTGAACCCGCGACCCACGCGCTCATCGTTGACCCAGATCTGCCATTCGCCGGTGCGACCGTTCCAACTCTGGCAGGAGTGGTACCACTTGTTAAGTCTCAGCGGATAATTCAATCTGTACAAGTTGTGGCCGTTGATGTTGAACATGTAGTACGAACTCCTTGGTGTGTTCGCGATCCATGACAGTATCCCCCGCGGTTGATCACCAACTGGAGGTCGAGGGTGCAAATTAACTCGTCTGCGAGGGAGAGAGAGAAAGGGAGAAAGAGGGGTGGTTTTTCTCTGCACAAGTAGAGTAGATGTAACATTTCCGTTAGACTGGTAACTGATGAAATTATCAACAGTTGTATATACAAGTATACACAAGTATACGACTGTATGGTTTCAAATGTTACGTAGTTCGCGTTTTTATGTTTTAGTCGCTATCACGACTTAAACAATGTTAAAACAATGTTAAAACAATGTTAAAACAATGTTAAAACAATGGAATGAAAATGCATAAGAGCTTTAAGCGCTTAAATTTCAGACAATTGTTGAATTATTTCTCCATTTAAAATTAATAAAATCTTAGTTTTCATTATTTTAATGCTATTTTTAATTAACGTTGTAGTAACCTTTGAAATTACAGTACATTTTAATTTAATTCTTAGTAATATTATTTGTATAACAACTTTTTGAACTTGTTATATAAATTTTAAATAATTTTGCAAATAAACTTTTTAGGACCTAATTTATCACATGAATAATTCACGACTTGTCCAGATTAAGAAAATTTAATATCTGTTTTATTTAGGAGCAATTCAATTTCTTTCTTTATATTAAAAATTTCAAAATCCATTACATTAAAAGTAAATTTATTTTTTATCATTATCGTCTCCGTAAAATGTCTACAAAATTACCTATAGACTCCCTATGATACATATCAAGATATTTATATTTCTCTGCACAATGATTATATTTCCAATGTATCGATTGATTCTATAGACCGAGAACCGTTTTTAGACGCGATACAAAGGGAGGGACTTATTGTTGATATATTTATGACACTGTGCATATCTGCCTATTGTCACGTTCACTTGCGCCTCGGAGAAAAAAAGGAAAGCAACCTACGCGCGCGCGCGCGCGCGCGTGTGTGTGTGTGTATGAGTGCAACTTTCTACCCGGCACAAAAACCGCAAACCGCGTAGAAATCTTTCTAAAATTGCATATTGAAAAACATAACCAGACAACTTTTCATTGTTCGCATGCGAATAATAATGCACGGGCGTGAATCAATTCTTACGACGGCGCGAAGGGTGACGGTGCACGACTGTTACTTATGAAGCTAGCCACTAATTTGCAAAAAGAAAGAACACTGTGTAAGAATTGATTACGCAACTGAACTTTTACACTACGTATAGCAGTTAATGGTTATGTATTTTCACGTTAAATTGATATTTGTTACATCACGTATGAATCTCGTGCTCTAAATTCGCTAAAAATCTTTTCACAAAATTTTATTTTACATTTATTGCATATAAAATTAATTACGATGGAAAATATTTTAAGAAACTATTGTAATGGATTTTAATAAATGTGTGCATGAAAACAGCAATATTTTAAACGTTAGATATAATTTGTTCACCAGCTTATTTAACACAAACACATTTACACAAGTGTAAACACTTGTTATACAGTCAATAATACTAAAATTTAAAATCTATGTTATATTGAACATTAGATAAGCAGCAAAATTAATTAATTAACAAATTAATTAATAAATATATTGATGTTTATATATCAAACTTTGCAATTTTGACATTAAAACATTTTTGTTACGAAACACAGCGAAATGTTATTTCAAAACAACAATTTCTACGAATGGAATACATTATTTATAATAATTTCTAATAATATTTTGACATAGAACTGTTAAAAACACATACTATATATTTTTGCACCGTATACATGCGCAAAAATATCGTGGACATCGTGTGTCCATTTTTGTAAACGCTGACAATTGAATCCCCCAGTCCGTTCATTTACAAGTTTATTGTTTGCTTATCCGCAGTTTCCGCTGCGTTAGTAAACAATATATCAATTATGCGAAACTAGGTCAACGGCAAATTAATGCATGACGTAAAATTCGTTAATCAAACACGCACCTAATGTCGCAATTTAAGGTCGAGTTTACCCAGCATTTTTACAGCAGTAACAAATTTTCAACGTGAAAAAGATTTGTTCTAGTTTTTCTTCTATGTATTGCTTTGACAAATAGAATATATGATTCAATTATTACATTTGCAAACTTGCTATTCATTTTCTTGTGTTTTAACATGAGTAAGTCTTGTGCTTTCATTACTTTATTTATACATTTTCGATGATTTTAAGACTTTCACGTAAATGTCAAGCATTTCATGTAAATTTTAATACAGATATTAAATATTATATTTTAGATTTTAGTGTTTGTTATTAAATACTAATGTTTATTATAGTTAAATAATAAAATAATAGCAATAAGTGTTAAATAAGTAATAAATATTGAAAACTGAGTTAAATTGTATTCTATTTAACATATTACAAATTAATTTATTATTAATTTTTGCTAAAAAAATTAACTGAAAATTATAATCATGCATTCTATTTTCGTTTATTGGTGATATGAAAAGTTAAAAACATATTGCAATTAAATCAATGAAAACCGTATTTATAATATTATTACACGATAACATGCGCGGCGTACTTTCGGCAATCAATACGGCGGACTTTCGTTTCCACGTATTCGATATATTTTTTGTTGTGATAAAAAATGGAAGGAGAAAGAAATGGGTTTCGGCGTTGCGCAAAAAGCTTACCTGCGTAAGAGAACAAGGGATGGTCGTTGGAGTGATTGTAAAATTTCGTCCACATGCAAAGGGTAAACTCTTTCATGTTCGGCAGCTCTGTCTTGTAGTGGATGTACTGCAAAAGAGAAAGAAGTGTATATATATATATATATATATATATATATGTATATTGTTAGATTGCATCTCGATGAACAACACAGCGCAGGTGACGTTAATTTCACCGTCTATCACGATTCAGATTGTCGATACTCCTGGTGTCGGAGCAAAGATTAATGCGCTGTGTGTGTGATTTAATCATCGAAATGTGTACCTTGCCGGTGTATGTCACTCGCATTATATCGAGTCTTACATTATTAATCGTCGATTCCCGCAGCTCCGCCATTTAAAATGCACGTTAAGTAAACGCTGAGCGCGTGCAAACCAATATTCGCCCTTCAGGCGCGCGATCGAACAGACGTAATCAAACAATCGTGGCGTGTGTTAAGAGAGCAACTGTTATCCGATTCAATGTGGATGAGAATTTGATGAGAGTTTGAGCTATATCGCTACGAGCAGCACTAAACGGTCTGTCAATGTTGTCTAATTGAATACAGAAACGTCTCTGTTTGTGAAGGAGAATAATTTGAGAACTTAGAAAGAGGAAAAGGGTCTTTGCTGCAATAAATCGCAATTATTAATTATTTATTTTAATTTGAGAAAAAGCTACAATGATTACCGATAAGCTACAATGCTTAAGATTAATTAATCACATCGGCTATTATTAACGCGATACACTCTGTGATCAATGCAAAGATATATGAGCTCCGCAGACAGAACTCTGCTCCAGGATATGCATCGAATACACATCAATGAACAATGCTCGCATTTGTGCTTTAGGCAGTGAAATTGCCTCTTGTATACAGAGTTAGGATACAATAATTGACAACCGAATACTGTGTTTATTATGCAGCTATGTGTAAGAGGCAATTTTTTTATCTAACAACATAAACGAATAATAATAATTTTTTATCGAAAAATATTGAATAAAAAGTTGTTTAATTTTTTTTCTTGAGCAATAATAAAAATTTATAACATATGTAGTAAATGAAAGAGAATTTTCCAAAAAAAAAAAATTTATTTTAACATTTAAATGAATTACAATATTTTTAATATTATAATAAATTTTATTTAGACTACGCATTTTGTCGTGTTGCAAATAATATTTATAAAATTATCGTATTTTAAACTAGAATACTTTTTCTCTGTGTACCTGTTTGTATCCTCATCTTATCATTGTTTTTTTCCTTTATGAAAAAATTGCAATTTTTAGCCTATATTATTTTTCAAATAGAGATGCAATGCCCGCCGAAATATAATCGCGATTCGAAAAGTTTCGCGGCGAGGACATTACGATTTGTATAGAATGTTGTTTTTTTCGCACGTTTCATATATATAAATTTACTCTCCAAATCTTTACGTAGCAATGCTTTCTTTCAAAAATGTAGGAAAGAATGAATTTTTTAAATCGATGTTTTTTAATACGTCATTATTATATACGCCCTCCTTAAAGCGAATTCCTGAATTTATCACGGTTGACATAAGCGTGACTCGACACCCAGGCAGACGCACGACCAAGTATGTAAACGCTTTTTCACGGCGATTGCATGAATATACGGTCAATCGATTACGTCGTACGGAAATCACTTTTTGCACGCCATAATTTCTCGTATAGAAGGCCGCTACGGATAATGGATTTTGTAGCCAAAAACGGCTGCAGGCTGCAACTATGACTGTGATCAAGATTGTAACGGCGGCGCACGTTCAGATCCTTTTATGGTCGTCAGCTCGTATAAACTTGCGCGCCTGTTCAGCTGGCTTTACACTGAGACAACATAGCCGCATGCGGCCGCATTCTACATCGCATCTATCTTTGAAAAATCAGCATCTTTTTCTGTCGCACTGTAACGCCGCATGCGGCTTGATTGCCTCAGAGTGTAACGCCGACTTTATGTACAACGTGTCGTAGATATACACGCGCGTCAATGTGCATACGTTCGCATTACGTTCGGCACGGCACTTGACAGGTAATGTTTCAGACCGACCTTCTAAAAGGGACCACTAAATTTGACGGGTGGGATAAAATATCTAATCGTAAATATCCACGCGAAACGCTCACTCAATTTCCCGACAGGTGCTTACATTCAAATGATTTATATCGACGATTCTCGTGACTTATCGGCACGTCGGACGATAACCGTCACAGAATCAGTCATACACGTTTTTCTTCTCAGATATGCAAAGTTATTGATACCTAAAGGAAAATATTGTCGTTCGATAAAGTAGATTTTCATCAACGCATTCGCGATGCTGCTGATTAATTTTGAATATAAAAAAGTTATTTATAATTTTATTTTATACAGAACGAAAGAATCCGCGGATATGATTAATTTATTGAGATGCATAAACAGCCTGCCTTAAATAGCAGCCTTATGTTTCGAATTACGGTGCTTCCGCCGTAATAAAATCAATTTCGCTCCCGTATTTGACTGTTATTTTACGCCAGACATAACGTTGTCATTTACTTAATGCCATTTTCGTTTCCTCCACATGTGATAAACTCAATTCACGAAACGCATTTCCACCTTAGTGACCGCGCTTAATATCCCGTCCGACAGTATCGAACATCGTAAGAGCCGTTAATTGTCGACGAGGAATGAAGTTGATGGGCGATAGTATTGCGCGCCTCGTGGAAAATGATCACACGTAACGACCGTAGAAAGTCATACAGAGAACAGACGGAATGCCTTTTGTTCTGTTCGATCCATTATACGATCTGTGATTTTGCGACAGTCTCTTTTATACTCTTGCGGTTACAATTACGCTCGCCTGGCGTCCAGCCTAAACGATATCACTTGGCACTGGATGATTCGTAGATGTTCATGGATAAAAGAAATGTATCTTGACTCTTGCGTTCACATTTTATCGCGTTTGATTTTATCATGCTGATCGCATCCGTACATTAGTTTTAGTGAGAATTAATTATCTTGATTGATATAGCAAAATTCAAATATTATTTTACACGTTTGAAATATTTTCTATTCTTGCAGATATTTTATTTTATTATTTTAAATTATCGATTGTTTATTGAAAACTAATTATAATTTTTGTTAATATATTTTATTTATTTATAAAGATGTTTATAATGTTGATACCTTTAATAAACCACTTGATTATAAGTGCTATAGGATGACGTAAAACTTTGCATTTTAATAGCAGAGATATTAATTATTTTACTCTCACTTGTTTAAACAGGAACGAGTAGCCATACGGTGAAGGCCATTCTAAATGAACCGGAGTAGTTTAACTTCCTTTTTCCTTAAATAAATAATTTGTTGTCCGTCACGTGAGAAATATTTCAGACGTCCAAGCATAAACGTAGATAACTTTCCGCGATAACTTCTTTCATCGAACGTATGATGTAACGACAATTAGATATTAATCTGTGCTTAAATGTAATGTAATATAATATAATAATATAACAATAACAAAATATGTATATTAACAAAAATAATAATTAACAATTTTCAATGAAGAACCAATAAATAATCGATAATTTTAATAATAGAATAAAATATTTGCAATAATAAAAAAAAGGATAAATAATATAAAGCAAATAGAGCCGTAGCTGGATCTCAGTGCACAATAATTTATTTTAACATTAAACGTTTTCGAATGATGTTCCGAATCGATGGCCGAAACATTTGACCATCTAAAAGCGCTAAGATCACATTTAAGCGTTTAATGTTAAAATAAATTATTGAGCACTGAGATCCAGCTACGGCTCTATTTGCTTTATATTATTTATCCTATTATAAAATAATGGAAGAGCCTTCAACTATTATTAATTATTGTTATTAATAAAAAAAGGTATAAAAATGTTAAATGACATTAGAATTTCGCGATATCAATCAAAATAATTAATTTTCGTGAAAATTAATTTACGGATCTACGGATATAATATTTCTGAATGTAATTTTTTAAAATGGCAATTGCTTCACGTAGTTATTCTAAAATTGGTACAAAGTTGTATGCATTTTACGGCTGAAAGATAATGCAACTTTGCTCATTTCCTTCATCACTCTTCAGTGACCTTGACAATTGAAAATGCCAAGAATATTGTCGTAGATCAGATGAGCGAGTAATTTGCCCAGATAAAACGTTCACTTTCTCGACTCGCAAGTTAGAAGACTCGCTCCCATGTATTTTGCATTTAACGAACTGTACAGAACACAGTGACGTCTGCACGAACGTCGGAAACCGATTAAGAAGGCGGTTGACGATTGTGGATTGCGGATGCGCGCGCAGATCGGCGATAAATCAGAACTCGTTCTGCGAGTTCTCCGCGCCCGAAGGAATCGTGAGCGCGTATTCCGAGAGAGTGTTTTCTCTTACTTTCGTTGGCCGCGACACGCGTATCATTTCGCTTGCATCGCGAATCTCCCGGTCGAATGTGATGCCAAGCTGCGCTCTCTCGAGCGTGAAGAGCGGTTTCGCGTAGCATGTGAACGACAGAATTTCGCGTGTCGGTCACACGTGAGACGTGACTCACTTTATGTTTCAAAAAGGGTCGCTCAACGACGTTGTCGTGCCGCGGAAATTGCCGTAAATTCCGGCTATTCATTTAACATAGACGCACACTTTGTTAGAAAAAAACTTTCTCAATAAAAAAAAGTTCAAAGTTGGTAATTTTTTAGTGCATTGTATACATATTAAAATTCCAATAAATTAAATTTGTAAAATTTATTATTATTTTTATTTATATTATCAACTGCAAATTTATATATATAACATAATTATTCCATCCAGAAATTGCATAATGACAGAATCACAGTTTGGAAAACAAATTGTATCATATGACCTCGACATTATATTACAAATTACATTAACTTTCTAATTGCATTGTCTAATTGCTGGCATGTGAACCAGTTTGTGTCAAACAATGTCGAGAATAATCCATTTCCTAATACATCGTACACGTGTATGGATATGCAACAATATCAATATCGCAAACTAGAACAAACACTATTCTATACCTTGGAAAACAAACATTCTACAGCATCTATATTGACCGTCTATATTCGCTGTGATTTCTCATCTTACGTCTGTTTCTGTGTACGCACAATGTCTGATTCGACTATTTTTCTTTCTATTTCTATTGACATCGATTACTCCGATAGCATATTATTAATTTTACGAGTAGCCTGTAAGAGAGATAATATGTTTTCTTATATCTCAAATGATTTCGATCGTGTTTTCAAAATTAATGATAAATCTCAGAAACAACTTGGAACAAAAATATATTGCATTTTATTCAAATACAAGTTCCAAACAAACATATGCATTCACACTTTATAATTATAATTATGTTTCATTAATCTTCATCGATATTTTAATTTTTTTCTTTTTTTCTTTTTTTCTTCTTCTAGTAGGATTTCCAATTTTTAAAGTCTCAAGGACTTTAAAATATTCATTATATTATTTTATTGTATTACCTTGTATTATTATATAAAATTTATTTACCTTGTTAGAGTGAGGAGGATCTATGTATGCTACTGTCTCGTCTCTAAAGACTATTAACGCCATGGAGCGCTAGTTATCTTTTCTTTTTCTTAGCGAGTTTCCTTTCTGTGTATTCAACTTGTTTATTATTAGGTTCCTATAACAACGATCATGAGTAATGTCCACGTACGCGCCTTTCTCGCCGTAGTCACAAATGAGTGTATAAACAGACAGTGCTAAATCTAATAAACGCTTTATTCTAAATTCTACAAATTTGTGTCCTACGACCTAGCGTTTTCCAACATACCTAAACCACTGTCTAATGACACAATGGAAGAAGTACATAAGTATTTTCTTCATCATAAAACAGAAGTTTTACCAGAGAGTAGGTGACTTAGGTCATTGTCAAAAAATAAGTATAAATTGAAATTTGTTTAACAAAACAATTATCAATGCCAGTTCAATTTTTAACTATTTTTTAAAAATGGCTCCACATTATTATAATGTAGATCGATATAACACTAAGTAAATAATAAATTTAATTTTTCAAAATTTTGGGCTTAGTTTATTTTCATAATTACTAGCAAATGAGCGAACATTATATTTGAATGTTAATCGATCTTTTTTTTCTCACATTGAAACATGATAGCAGAAATTTTCAAACCATTTTTTTTTATTTTAACGTTTTGACGACTTATCGCAGAATTAATGTTTAAATTTTTGACCGTGTTAAAATTTATTTTTTGTTTATTTATACCTATATAGCGCAAATTTGATGGAAATACATATCATGTCCAGTTTACAATTTAAAAATTCATCGCCATACTCGCTGACCTACCTCAAAATACAGCTGCTGGTTCATTGCCACCTTGTAAAGAGAACACTGCTCTTGGTCGTGTGACAACAGCAGATGAGAGTTGTCCACGTCGTAAAGCGTCTGCGTAGGCGCGTTTCCGAAAATCGATGCCTCCTGATGCAGTATACCCGCCGTGCCGTCGGCGTGGACGGGCGCGATCGGTCGCCAAGACGACGAGATCGCTTGTATCTCGCGCGTGAATAGCGCAATGAGAATAGCGCGCGCAAACAGGATCAGCATCATTTTCAGGCGGCTTTCAAGCTACCTAGAAAGCCGAGAAAGATTAATGTTTTAGTTTTATTTCGATTTCCTTCATCTCACTCGTTATAATTATTTATACATACATTTGTAATGTTACATCCTTTACGTTTTAAAGTGCGTTGCGGTTATTCCAAAATCATCATATATTATAATTAACAATATATAAAACAATGTGTAGTCGACGAGATTTCTGCGCTTAGTTCATTATAATCAAAAGTTTATAACTGTTCGATATTAGAACGTGTGGTAGAGATAAAACTAGAAAAGTTAATCGAGTTTTGATAAAGCAGAGAGTTTACCTTCGCTGCTCGCGTGCTCTGTTATGTGTAATGCGAAAAGAACGCCGCGCGTACACGCAACAGCATCTCTTCATTGCGAAATTTCGTTGCGGCGAGCGTGGCAAGAACTCCGCCGTTTAAAAATGCAATCAATCATCATACCGCTTTTTTTTCTATCGCGTGCGATAATATTTTCATCTCATTACGTCTTCAATGCGCTGTGATATCGGATTAAACAGGTTCTCGTAGGGAGATCAGAGATCCAAATACCAGTATGTAAATATTGCATCTAAATTAGTTCTGCATTCTTCTTGCATACCTAGATAATTGACATCTTCTACTAACTTATATTTGAATGACTGCAAACACACGTAAATTTGCATTTGAACATTTTGCAAGAGAAATTCTATTAAACATCAATTTAAATGTATTTTAAAGTTTTAGTTTTAAATGTAACGTTAAAAAAATAAAAATTTTAATTTATTTAAAACTTTGCGCATATGCAAAGCAGCTCAATAAGTGACAGAAAGCAATATTTTTTATCTTTTTTTTTTTTCTAGCAACAAATATTTATAGTAAATAAAATTTGAAAAAAAATTTTTTTTTAAACTTATTTAACTTTTTGGAAATTTTATATCGAAACTATTATATTTTTTATGCTACTAATTAATTCCCGAAATGAGATGATTATATAACAGCTTTATGAAAATTATCTCTTGGAATATTCATTCACTTTAATCATTCGTTTTCATCGATTCATCTATAATTACCCATTGTGGCTCCTGATTAAATGCTTTTGCATTGCACCTTTAACGTTAATGTTCACCAATGTACTTGTTATGTGTCTACATGCACTCTGTTTTACATCCGCATTTACATAAAACACATTGCAGACACTTTCATCTGCAAGCGTCCGTTCCGTTTCACGATTAGAAGACGCTTCGATGTCTTAAACGGCGCCGCTAACAGTGCGATGCACAATATGAGCTGCCGTCTTTCCCGGCACACGTTCTTTACGTAATATCATGTACCTGCTTTACTCGTAAAAGTTGATGGCGTGCGTCCGTTCTATGCGGGAAACGTGAAACGGTCATTAAGAAATAGCGGGTGGGGAGTTTGACGACTAATATAAATCGCCGTTATCACAAGACCCGTTATTTGCCGCCGATGCGGCAATATGTCGACGTGCTTCTGCTAACGTGCCTTAATAATTTCCTAATTACGACTCGCCGCACTGTCATTTCGGAACGCGTCTTTCGATTTTAAATCGCTGGCGATTGAGTCAATAATCGAGAGATTGTTTTAAAATAAAATATTGAACGCATCACATAATATTCATATCTTCAAAAATGGATTTATATATTTCAATTTATTTTAAGTGGAAAGTAAAAGAGAAGAGAGGTAAAGAAATATTGTTAAAAAAATTGTATATGTTTGTAAATATAGTTGCACAATTAAAACATTAAATTATTAAAATTATCAAATTATTAAATCAAAATTATCAAAATTATCAAATCAACAGTCAAATCTGTCGAACAAAATTCACATATGCGAGAATCAACTAGAACGGCAATGATTAAATGTATTTCTGATAATAAAAAGTTTATCTGATGCAAAAAAGATCTTAATTTTTCTAGATTCCAAATAATATATTAAACGTATTATATTTGATTATCTGCATTAAGAGGATGCTGAATTTACACTTTCTTACCGATCGAGTTTCAATTTTGTAATTAACACGGCATTTTTTATTGCTTCAATAGAATTACAAATCCTCTTATGTGGTTAAAGTACATACTCTAATACATCGGCAAGCACTAGTTTTAAAACGAAAAAAATAAAAAAAATTGGAAATTTTATCGACAAGCTGTCGATGCTTATAAATATTTACTTTTTATAAAAATTATACAGTTTGTACATGCAAAACGAGTGTGCTGGCCGAAAAAGAGTATATCAAAGATTAACAGGAAACCTTTCAAATTGAGTTCAGAAATGTAATTTTTAAATGCGTCGCGAATTACAATTATGCAAAGGATGCGAGCAATATAGACGATAATAAGGTTAAAAAAAGCAGCAGATTAGTTCCCGGATTTTGGCATAGAGGCGCTATACAGTTCTTAGTGCTATCTGTCATATACATCAGAATCTTTAAGGTTAGTTATGTGTGTGTTAGTTATGTGTGTGTTAGTCGTGTGTGTGTTATGTGCTAGGAAACCCGGCTGAAGAAAATGGGTTGAAAGCACTCTGAAGGATAAAAAAAGTGTAATGTATTATACATAAATTTTGCAACATTTTTGCAAACATTTACATTATTTAGTTACATACATTCATATTCTAATTTCTGTAAAATACTTTTATTTATCTGCTTCATGTGTATATATTATGTATATTATATGCTCCATATTATGTATATTCACATCAAAGTATCTATGTAGTAGTAGTAGTAGTAGTAGTTTGTTTATTGATTTCCTTAGGGTTACAATTTTCTCTCTCATTTCCGTTTCTCGCCATACATTTCTTTCTTATATAATAACCTTATTCTATACTTAATCTTTACTTATTCTATCCTTATCCTAACTTAACCTATCCGCTTATGGAGCAGGAGCGTGAGCCTTATGTGCTCACCCTCTTTCTCCCCTCATCCTATATACACACACACCTCGCTCGCTAAAGGGACTTCCGTTTCCATTGCTTTCCTTCCAC